TGGCAGTACATCCTGTTCATTACCTTTATGTGTGGACTATATTCACCTTCCTAAAGTGATGCTACCTGATTGTTGCAAGTTAATGCAGTACTACAACCCATAGTTCAATTATATTCCTTCAAATTGTGCTTTGTAAACCCAAGTAAATCAATTTTTTAGAATAACTCGTAACGTGTAAATAGATGCTTCATCTATTGGAATTTATTTTATTCCCTGAAGTTTCTTGTTACTTGCATTGAAAGTACAGTCATTACTGATGTTAAATGATAGTTTCTAGCTGGGTTTTTTTTAATAAACCAGATAACAAGCATTGGCATTATTAGTTAACTGCCTAAGGATATAAGAAATAACAAGTTCAATTCCCGTTGACCCCAACCTCCCTTCCACACACTCTTGCCTGTCTTGTTCAGTCTCCAAGCTCTCTTTGGGAGCCATGTTTTGAATAGGTGTGAACAGATTTCTATACTAACTATGGCAGGGACCTTGTGGTCCCTCTAACATTGCCACACTATCACCAAACACTAATGGCCTCCAACAGGAAGCAAGCAGAGGAAACAAACAGTTCCACCTCTCTCTCTGTACCTCAGAGGGCTATTTGGGAATAAAATTAAGTAATTTAAAAAGCTTCTTGAAAAAAAACTTTTTCATAAAAGTCAGATATTAGTGTGATATCATTTATGTGGCATATAAGCCATATTGAGCAACCTAACAATCATAAAAGATTTTTATAATCTTAATGATTTTTTTAAAAATTAGATTCTAAAGAATTCAAACAGATGAAACTAGGAAGCAGAAATTTGGGACAGTGACTAGGTTTAGTCTATCATTCATTCATTTGACTACATTTATTGTCCAGAATTTATTTATTTTTGAATAACCACTGTACATATGATGGTTATAGAAAAAAAACAGGTATGATAGGTTTATAAGTACCTCTATTACATTTATAAAATGTGGGAGAGAATAAAAATTAAAGCAAATTGATGTATAATTACACCTTGTAGTGAGTTCAGTGAAGGGTACAATGAGGAGAAAGGGCTACTATGATAGCCTGATCAGAGATGGCCTATCAGAAATGAAGAGAAACTAGGCCCAGAAGAAAAGGGTGACTGCAAAGCCTAACTCCATGAGGAAGCTTGGCATGTCTGAGGACCCATAGGACAACTTTGCTTTAGACCCTGTGGAAGGAAAGAACCCTGAAATAGGTTGGTTAAATATTAACAGGCTTGCTAAAAATGATTTCAATGTAAATGCAAGGAAAGCTTTGAAGGGTTTTAAGCAGGGGTGTGAATAGATCAGCTCTGTTACTTAAAGGCAAGAGGAGAAAACAGAAAGATCAATTGAGCAGCCATTATAAGGGATCATGCACAAAGGTTAGTTGTTTTGACGATGGTGGTGGCCGTAGAGGAGAGAAGTGGAACTTCGAGATGTATTCAGGAGGTAGAATGAAATGTGTTTGGTGGCAGATTGGAAATTCGGGGTGTGGGAGTAATCAATGAGACCAGAATGTGCCACCAAAAATGAAGGATTTTCTAGGTACAAACAATTAAGAAGAAGCCCAGGTAGGAAAGCGCTGTCTTCCCTTTATTTGGTTTAAGCAGGACATAGATTTACAAAGACAAAAGGTATCCTGTCTTGGTGTTCTACCAGAGGGAACATAGGTTCACCATTGAAAACAACTTTAGATTTGGCCTGGATATGGGAGCAGAGGAATCTACATTAATAAGCTTTACTAACTGGCCTTTATCTGCCATTGATTTGTTGCCATGTTGCCACCAAAGAACTCAAGGTCCTTTCCCTTTTTCTTG